TCAAAACATACATTTTTACAACACAAAAAAAGTTGAAAATAATCTTAGCGTCTCGTACTCTCGTCACTGTCAATCTATTGAACTCTCCTGTTGTACGTTTATAACAGCATCCGAAATCATCTCCATAGCACGCATGCACGAGCTTGAACAAAAGCTGTTTATCTAGCATCGCTAGAAATCGCGGATATTTGGAATGCGGCGTGCATTCTCGCCCCAGTCCCCACGTTCGCTCTGATATTCAATTTTATCAGGAATGCAGATGGTTATCAAACTTGTACATAAAATATCTTTTAAGATTCATACCAAATTAAAATTGTGCAGTGTGGAAACAAAATTCCATGAACTAATCAAGGAAATAAGAAAGCAAACTAAATCCAATAATAAAATATAATGATTATTTACGATACTTAAAACTGGGCAACAACGCAGTAAATGTACGGGCAGGATTAATAACTGATTTATCGAGACGACAATAATCCACCTTTTACAAAGTCATACTACGGCTTAATGACCGATGAACTTAAAATGTATATGGTAAAACTTAAATAATACGCAGATATTAGTAGCCGAAATAATTGTTAGCATACCTTAATCTGTGGTTTCAATGATTATTTGTTTCATTCCAAATTTGCGTAAAATAGAAGGTTCGTTTATTATACACAATCATCAGGTTCTAATATTTCGCAGTTTGGCGATGATTTTTTAGGCAAAAATGGCCCAAAATATATAATTCGAAAGCTCTTTTCTTCTATTTTTTGTTTGTTTACATTTTGCAATCCTTTTAGTATGTTTACATTTTGTAATCCTTTTAGTAATCCTTTTACTTCCATTTTAGAATAAGAAATTTCGGGATCGAAAGGGGGTAGTAAGGGGCATAGACGAAAGGGATGTTTCGGGATTCAAATGTCCGCGATTTCTAGCGATGCTTTTGCACGGTCAAAAGTTTCGCCCTTGGCTTTGCTACGAAGACAGGAACTGCAGCCACATTCTCAAACACACTTGTTTCGAATTTCGTCAAGCGAAAAGCTTTCCCCAATTGCTTTTGTCATAATGACAACAACAACTCTGGCAACATGTTTCGAGGGATTGATACCGTATTAACTATTTTCATGATGAGACACAAACTCCGGAGGTAAACACAAAATAAATCGAACTCACACCTTCGGGATTTCGGTTCGCCGCCCCAGCTGTTGATATAGCAAGTCACACAAGGTTCAAAGCGGCCTCTTTATTCACGATGTTTACAGTTAAAAATTTACATGTTATTGTGTAGAAAAATTTCCAGTGCAGAAATGTACAAGAAATGCAGCGAAGTATTGTCAAACATTGCACTCCTCGGTCACAAATTATGTGGAATGTTACTTTGAACTCGTCATATACTTATATAACTAGAAAATACATGCATGCAGACACCCTCGCCTTGAGCTGGAGCGGGAGCTGCTGCAGCGTCAGCCGCAAGCTTGACATTTATTAAACTACCATACATTACAATTGCTCGCCACATAATTACTATAACAAGTATATATACCCAGTTCCAAACCGTTCTGTTCCCCTACTCACTACTAATAAACATGAAAGGGCTGGGTGGGTGGGATACTGTCAAGCTACGTTGAGCAACAACAAAAATATGCTCAACTAACCTGCACCACCCTATAACACCCTGATTTCAGCAGGTCCCCAGCAGTGTGTGAGAAAACATTTTCCGCTTCTTTCGTGCCTCAGCCAGCGGAAAATAACACTTCTCACACAACGCTGGGAGCTGATGCAGCGTCAGCCGCAACCATACAACGCATAGAGTTTCATTCCACAGTTTCTGCTTTCTGCACTGTTTTTGTAACATAAAGTAAAGAGTTAAATTTTTTACCCCACAATATAATTCTTCTTTGTCTTCGCAAGCCACCATCCTCCGTCCAATTGCTAGTCCAAACGACATATAGCAAAGTTTATAGTCAGCACTAAAATCAATGCACTATAGTCTACAGGTCCAAACGACCTCAGTAGATTTTTTAATGGTTAAATTTTTTACCCCACAATATAATTCTTCTTTGTCTTCGCAAGCCACCATCCTCCGTCCAATTGCTAGTCCAAACGACATATAGCAAAGTTTATAGTCAGCACTAAAATCAATGCACTATAGTCTACAGGTCCAAACGACCTCAGTAGATTTTTTAATGGTCCAAACGACCTTGTGGGTACTATGGTTCACACAACCCCTGTAGCCCAAACAGCTTATATAATAAAAACATCTCAGTACATGACATGGTCCATACAACCATGCAGACCTCATTAAAACATATACCGGTCAAACCGACCTCTAGTGTAAATACTAATACCCCAGTAACTACAGGTCTCGATCACCTCATAAAGTATTCAGTGGTCAACACAACCTGTCACTTGTTAGTCCAAACGACATATAGCAAAGTTTATAGTCGCCACTAAAATCAATGCACTATAGTCTACAGGTCCAAACGACCTAGTAGATTTTCAATGGTCCAAACGACCTTGTGGGTACTATGGTTCACATGACCCCTGTAACCCAAACGGCTCGCCTTAATTTTCCAAACATGAAGTATCTAAAGTAGTTGTCATGGTAACACGATAATTTTTTAAGAATATTCTTACAAATGAAAAATCACCTAAAAATATCACTTTTAATTACAAAATTATCAATTTCCCAACATATATATGTTAGGTATGTTATTATACGTAGTATAAGCCTCAATTGAAGGTAAAATTCAACCACAAACGCTTCGCAAAACGTTTTAAAGTGTTCTTTATAAAACTAAACCGCTGCCTTTAATTAAATGGCTTTATCGATAAATTTTGAGTTTGCAAGAAAATGATTTCAAATTCTCGCATGCAAATAACTTTGCTTTCTTTTTATTTAAAAAATTCAATATAATAAAAAAGGGAATCAATATTAATAATACACTGAAATTATATGCTGTCTTGTTTAGTTGTTTCATATACGATAAGGCCGTCGGGTTTTAAAGCCATTATAAAATCAATAAAAACAAACTTACCTTCATTAACATCGGCTCCCTTCTTTTAGCCGATTCTTTCGCCCTTTCTTCTTGAAATTTTCAAAATCTTGCAAAAATGCGAGCAAAAATGAAATATATTTGCAAGAAACTTATCAATCATCAAATCAAGAAATGTTTGCTATTTCGCTGTCGTCATGCAGGCGTTATAATGCACACTTTAAATTGGACCAATCAGTGTCCGCTATTCATGAAGTCCGCCATATTTTTGAGATCAGTGAGGATGACCACCCACGTTTGGTCACCCACGCCCGCGATAATTGATGAACTTTATTTAGACTTCCCTAATGCTTTCGTTTCCCCGGGTGTAAATAGCCAGAGGGAATTAGTACCCTCGCACGGCGCTTCGCGCCGTCGGCTCGGGGATTAATGTGGATCCAAGCAAAGACGTAAACAAAGCCCGCACATGCGCAGAACCGACCGTAACATACCTTTAAATAAACTTTCTCTTGGAAAAGTGATACGAATTTGAGCGTGGATTCATTCAGAATTCCCAACACAACCTTCAGAGAGTGAGAGAGAGGGCGGTCCCATCAACAGTCTCAAGATTGAACAACAATGAGAATTGTGTATACGCGTTTCCAAGACGAGCCAGAATAATTACACAAGTATATGCCATCTATATCCCAGACTTCCATCCATTGGCGTCATGTTTAGTTCGTGAAGCCCAAGTCTCAATTCTACACGGGGGAGTCAGCCGTGTAACCTTTGAAAGTACGTCAGCGAACATTACCGAGCGGTTACTCTTCTTTAATAGCCGTTTAGTCAAGAAGATGATATTGATGATATTGATGAATTAAGAGTGTTTATTGATAATTCTAATATTGATATTTTAGCCATTAATGAAACTAAGCTTGATTTCTCTATTGATGACGACCAGGTCCATCTGGCGGGGTCCGATATCGTTAGGAAAGATCGAATACAAAATGGTAGGTGGAATGTGTATATATTTGCGAAGCAGCTTGAATTTTCGTATTCGCGAGGATCTATTAAATGACAACCTTGAATGTCTCGTAATTGCAATTACTAACCCTCGCTCTAGGCCGTTTCTTGTCGGTACTTGGTACCGACCTCCAAGTTCTCCTCCTGATCTCTTTTCTCACTTTGAGGTTTTAATGGATAAAATTGATGTTGAAAACTCCGAATTTCATCTGCTTGGCGTTATAAATTGCAATATGCTCTCAGGGTCGCCCGACTCTAACACCTCCGAACTTTTAAACATTTTAGATATTTACGATTTTCATCAACTGATTACAGAACCTACTAGAATAACTTTAACTTCGCAAACTCTAATTGATTTATGTATTACCAATTTTCCTGATAAAATAACAGCATCTGGTACTTTTTCACTAGGTATCAGTGACCATTCACTTGTTTACTTAGTTCGTAAGTCCAGCTACCCTAAGTGGCAGATAAATAAACCGGTGATAAGGAGAGATTTCAAACAATTTAAGGAAGCCAATTTCCTATCTGATTTAAATGAGTTAAATTTTGACGAGGCTTCCCATTGTGAAAATCCTAACGAAATGTGGTACGACTGGGCAAATAAACTTACGTTGGTGATCAATAAACATGCTCCCTTTTAAAAAAAACGTCTAGGGAAAAAGAAATCTCCTTGGATTACACCGGAAGTTGTTTCAAAAATGCGCCAAAGAGATTCTCTAAAAAAGAAATTTGACATTACTAAAGATGAACATATTTGGAATCAATATAAAAAAGCTCGTAACGAAACCAATAATCTCATTAAACAATCAAAACGTAACCATTTTACATCTAATATTGAAGCTGCAGGTAACGATCCTAAAAAAACTTGGAAGCTTATTAACGAAGTGACCTCTCGTAAACAAAGCAGGTCGGGAATGTTAGCAAAATTAATTTAGATGATAATAATGTAATTACACAACCTCGTTCCCAGGGTCTTTCTTAGAACGGCGCGAGGCGAAGGAAAGACCCACTGAGCTCTACTATATATATCTGGAGATCGCGCTCCCATATCTCGTCAAACAAAAAAGTGTCCGCAAAAACATGGCGGATTTCGAGCTCCGCGTCCACTATTTTCGGGCGATTTACCACTGACCACATAATATTTTTTAAAGCCACCTGTTTTCGCACCCCCCTGGATGCAAAAAGTATACACTGTGTAATTATTAAACTATCAAGTTTCACAACTTTATATTTTGTCAACATGCCGCGTTTGCTCGGTTTATGGTTGTCACAACTCCTTTGACAAAGACCGGGACTGTATTCACACTGTCACTGGTAAGGAAATATTATTTTGTGCTATCATTCGAGAAGTTTTTTTCTGCAAATGACAATGTAAAGCAAACGGTAGTTTATGTTTTGTTCACGTGCATGTGTCACCAGCTTTTCTCGACTATGGCTTCTTTTCTGAGGTTTTTGCATGCAGTTTGTTTCATTCAAATATTATATTTCCATTGTTCCTTGTGATGTTCTCGTGTGCGTTTTTCCTACCTACTGTACAGTGTATTTTATAGGCCTGTTTGTATTTATGAAAGCATATTGTTATTGAATTTTTTCCCTTCACATATTTAAGCATTCCTGATGCAAAGAAGCATCCAGAATTGTACAGCATATGGGTTGAGTATATGAATAAACATGCGCCAGTGAAGTCTGTTCCTGTGAAAAGTAGTTGTTTGTGTTCAGATCACTTTAGTGCTGATATGTATGAGATAAAGGGCAAAAGCCAGAAATTAGTATTGAGACCGGATGCTAATACCAACAATAGTTACACAACGGTTTGCTCAGGTCATTGGTGCGAGTTAATTAAAGTGTTATATGTAACAGTGTGCATGATTTACATTCTTTGCTAAGGGACAAGTCATTATTAATGCCGGGTAGGGGGCTGGTGGAAATTTTTATGAATAGCAAAAATTTTTCATGACCCCTTATTTTTCTAACAAACTATCCCCCCCCCCTTATTGAGGCAACATATTTCATAGCCCCCCCCCTCCACCCCAATTCTGAATTCAATTACTCTAAGTCAATTTCGTAACCATTTTTCCTGCCCTCATACTCAGTTTACTTGCAGATGTAAAGAATATTGTAAATATTGAAAATAAAGAATATTGTAAATATTGAAAATGATAGCCAAGTAGATAATTCAGACTTTATACCTGAAAAGTTGTTGGTCCTCAAACAAAAACCCACACATCAGACCTAATTTTACTAATTGAAAAAAATACATTTGTGTCTGGTGGAAGCATTACTGTATATTGAAGAGATGGCAGAAGAGACTATCAACAACATGCAGAAACAGAACATGCGAAAGAGGTCCACTGTGTTAAAAGCAGGACAACAACTGTCAATTGATGAATCTTGCATTTGCAAATGCAGTGCATGACCCTTTAGACAAATTCTTTGGTGATGATGAGGATGACAATTTCTATATACAGTGCCTAGAACACAACTTTTAGGTTCAATATATTGGGCATTACTGTTCAATGTATGTATACTGTATATATCCATCACTCTTTTGATATTGCATGTTACAAACTATTCCATAGATTTTATTTTTTTGCCCCCCCCCCCTCTATGTTCAAAATATTTTCTGCCCCCCCCCCCTTCACTGGTCAAAAATTTACATTAATTTTTATTGTTACATTTACTAGGAATGGTATGCTGGATGTGTTTTAAAATAGGGCATACAAAAATTGTGTGCCGAAATAGAGCAAAAACCCACTCAGACAGTTGTTCAAGAACAACATAATTGGCATGATATTAAATTCACTAAGTAACTTTGTGTATGTTATAATGTGTGAATATTGTGTGAGTGTTGTGAGTTAATTTTAATTTATTTATTAGGCCATTAATAAATATTCTTGATTTGAAAAATATTTTAGGGGGGTGGGGGAAACCCTACTGCTGGTGCCACCACTGGAAATATCAGCTAATTATAGGCAGCATAACCAGCATAGCTTCAATAAAATATATTGAAGTAAATATGACATCAAATACTCTTTTATTAAAAGGGATAGCTATGTGCGTGTTTCACTTGTATAATTTGGGACAACCCGAGAATACCCTTATGCAATTAACAAAATAAAACCTGGGTATGAGACCAGGAATACTTATTGATGGCCTGTAATAGTAATATAATAATATTGTATATATTTTTAAATTAAACTTTTTAAATGTTGAATAAATCTAATTTGTAATGAAAATTAATAATGCACATACAGTAAGAATATGTTTAATAAAATAATATATAATTATTGCTTGGTGTGCTAGATCCTTAATTAACTAATCCGTTGCCTGGTCAAACAATATGATTCTATTGCCATGAATTCCCATCGGATATAACAATTATTCCAGTGACAAACGTAGAGCCATATACATTTGGGTATTTATTAGTGCAGATTTACTTTCCCCATAATGTGCACAGAGTACATTGTGAGTAGACATGATCAACAATGTGCAGTTTCCATAATCTGAAAAATACAAACAGCAGTAAATATTTAGATGATACATGCATAAATTAGTTTCGTTTCAACAAAGCATGGCCACAGAATAGGAAGTTATACCAGAAGCGTAACTCTAGTCGTTTCCCTTATTGTTTGATGTCCACGAAAATTTTAACTCGCTCACGTCAGGCCACGCCATCCTGGCTAGTACAGCCGGAAGTTTTTATCAGGATTTGGTAGGTACAAAGTGCCGGTTGTACTAGCCAGGATGGCGTGATTGATGACGAATCGCTTGTAAAAACGCGGACAAATATTTGCTCGAGTTACGCTTCTGTTATAACTTCCTATTCTGTGGCATGGCTGTGTTCACAAATTTATACATTAATTTAAACTTATATATATAGTAGAAATGCAAAAGGAACAACATACTTTTTATACAATTTGAAAGAGAATTATGCACATATCAACAGCCTGCCCGGGGGGGTACACCCCCGGGACAACTGGGGGGAAATGAGGGGGGAATTTGGTATTTTATCTGTGTATTCTGCCTGTGAACCCCTGGGAAATTAGGGAGTGGTCATTATTTATGGGGGGGGGGTGTGGGGAAATGGGGAAAATAAGGATTGAAAACTTTTTTGACCCTCCTCCAGACTGAAGGCAAACTTTTTGTGCCTCCCCCCCACCCCCCAGTGTGGATTGAAAAATTAACAGCAATGAAACAGGTGTCCATTGCATGTAAAGTTAGATATTAGGACAATCTGTTTAATCTAGCTCATGATGTTTTACCCTGGTGAATATGATTCACCATATGTGATTAAAAATATATATTATGTGTTACTACTTTGCAATGCAACATTTGTCCTACCATAACCCTAACCCATGACCCGTCTTCATACAGCAAAATGATTTGAACACAGGGTTTTTTTAAGAACTTGTCTGGGCACCAACCATGGTAGTGCCTCGCAATCATGGGAGTCGGACCCACTAAGTTTAACAAGCTTGCTACCCCCTGAGTGACCCAGTTGTGGTATTTACATAAACATACCATGCAAATACACTTAACTGATCAGATTCAGTCTATCAACGCACAATGTAACGCTGTATATGCAAAAATCTGTTTCAGAAAATGCTCACATTTCAGTTCTAGGGGTGGAAAAATACAAAAAACTTTCTGGGGGAGAATCCCCGGACCCCCCTACTAGTACATACGATACCACACCAAACTTTTTGTCACCAACAACCATCCGTCATCTCTCCACACTCAATATAGTATGGTCCCTTCTTGTAGATGCCCACCCCCGAGCAGGGAAATTTTGAAAATTTTGAGTCTCTAGATCGTTGGAAATAGCATTTTCAGAGTCTTCTTTTTTGCTATTTGTGATTATAGAAATCAGAACTCTAGACATGGTATTTAAGTTCAAAAACTTTTATGACACCCCCTTTCTCTGTGTTAAAACTTTTTTGATCCCCCCTATTTATAAGGGTAAAAACTTTGTTCCACCCCCCTCCCATTTCCCACCGCCCCCCTCCCCATAAATAATGACCACTCCCTTACAAACTTCACAATAATAGGGCGATGGGGGGGGGGAGTGGGGACGATGGGGGGACTTTGATTTGAATTTTATAAATGAAGTACATAATTGGTGTGAACTCAAAATCGCAGGCTCACACAGAAAAATATCGATCGCCAACTTATTATTTATGATATTTTGTAGTGGTCTTGCTAAAATTTGAATAAATAAATATGGAATACATGAGTGCCATTGTGATACCCCAGTTTGTATAATAATTTTTAATTGTTTGTACATGCTATTTATATTATGAACTACTTTATTGTAAGCCCAGGCGGAGGGCAGTTTGACTTACACATTTCCCGGGGGAGGGAGGGAGAATTAATGCATTAGAATCATGTTTTTGCAAAGTCCCGGGGGTGTACCCCCAGGGCAGGCCATTGATATGTGCATTATATACAAGTAGTAATCGAGTTGAAATATTATATAAT